TTCTAAATTAAGTTAATTTTAACTATCAAGAGGTATGGTTTAGTTTCTGATAGCGTGACAAAATTATGTTAACATTTCTTCCAGTTGATCCACAAGAAACCAGGGTAATTTACCCCAAAAATCTTAGGCTATCAATACAAAACTGACTCACCATCAATCTTCTTCCCATTCTTGAACCAGGCGACCTCCGGTTGCGGTTTCCCTTCCACCACGGTGCACGTGACCTCGACCTTGGCCCTCTCGTAGAGGTCCTGGAGGACTGACCCGTCTTGCAGCTGTCGGTCACCCACTGTCACCTCCACCGACTTTGGTTTTACTGTGGACGAGAGAAAGGGTACGGTTAGTTAGGGTTTTACTAAGTTTTTTTGACGATGCGTACATTTATTTGATTTTAAACTTTCGCGCTGCATAACATTATAATTCTGCGCACAAATTAACTCTACATACCAAGCCCGCCGACTGTATAAGTNAGTCAAGGAGCCCATCTCTAAGCTTTTGAATTAAATCCTGGGTCTCATTGTCGGCGTTTTGGGCCATTTGTGCCCAATTTAAAGGTCGATCAATATGATTGACTTGCATCGCTGGTGGATTTCTGCTCAAATAATCTGCATGGCCCATCATGGAGCCTTTTCTATATTCAATGGTGAAGTTAAAATCTTGCAGATAAATCCACCAGCGAGCAACCCGCGGAAGCAGATCCTTCTTACGCTCGGTGGCTTTCAGGGCATTGCAGTCGGTTACGATTTTGAAAGTTACGCCTATCAGATAATGCCGAAAATGCTGCAATGCTCTGACAACCGCCAACGTCTCGAGCTCGTACGAGTGGTATCTGCTTTCTGCGCCTTGGGTAACTTTGCTAAAATAAGCTACCACGCGTTTGTTACCATCAGAGTGTACCTGCATTAGTACAGCCCCATATCCAGCACTACTTGCGTCTGTGTGCAGCTCGACCGGTAAGTTAGGATCAAAAATTGCAAGTATTGGCTCACTCGTCAACTGCGTTATAAGATATTGGCGGACTTCCTCCTGCTCAGGTCCCCAAGTGAATTTGACGTCTTTTTTCGTAAGACGTGAGATACTTGCAGTTTTTGTCGCATAGTCTTTGATGTAGCGCCGAAAATACCCAGCCAGACCCAAAAATTGACGCACTTGTTTAACATTCGTCGGAGTAGGTGCATTTACAAGCGCTTCAATTTTTCGGGGGCTCGGCCTAACCTGACCATGGCTAATGACGCGACCTTCATCGAAACTTCCATCGTTCAGCGAATGTGCACTTTTTTGCTTTGAAATGTCCATCTAGCAGCGACACAACTTCTTCATAGCTCAAAACTCCCACTTCCTTAGGTAAAGCTAGGTCACGTACAAGCTTGTAGGTGGATTCTGACACGTTGCTTAGTAAAATGGCTCGACGTTTACTACCGGCTTTGTCTATCTCCGCACCAATGTCATTTGCGAGAAACCATTGTTCTAAACGAGCCTTATACACCGACCACTCTTGAACTTCGTGGCTAAATGAAGTTAAAATGCCGACCGTAACTTTCGCCATAATTAATTTGCACGCGTTAACTTTTAATCTCGTTCGCCAAATGTTATATCGTCGGTATATCGGAATAGGGAATTTAAATAAGCAACAACCGCTACGTTTAAGTTCGTGTATTCGACTGACGCAACAGCCGTTGGAAACAATAGTGAAACTACCGCTATTACATAAAAATAAAAATAACAAGGTACCCGCTTAGTAGCTTAATATTATAACAGTACTCTACTTCGCTACTCAGAAAGGAACACTTTTGAAGATTGATCGAAAATCCAGCATCGGTAAGGGTAGTTAACACTTCCCGCAACAAAGCTATGCCGTCACTAACTGTCATGCTTGGAATGAGTACATCATCAATGTATACTAAGACGTGCCCTGATTCGATCAACTTTCGAAGCGTGTTGTTGATAATTCGTTGGTAAACCGTTGGTGAATTACATAGTCCGAATGGCATTTTGACGTACTCATAATGTGACTCCGGAGTAACAAACCCAGTCTTGTGTATTGAGTCTTCATCTATTGGTATCTGATGAAAACCTGACGCCATGTCCAGGCTGGTGAAGAATTTCGAGCATCCAAGGCGGTCAATGTGGTCCTCGATCAATGGAAGTGGATATCTGTCTTTTATAGTAATGCGATTGAGTGCTCGAAAGTCCACACACATCCTGTCTGTGCCATCCTTCTTTTTAACCAGAATGATTGGGCTTGCATACTCGGAGTCAGATTCCCTGATTATGTTCTTATCCAATAAATCCTTCACAATATCGCGAACCTTAAGTTTCTCCTGATATGACAAACGGTAGGGGTGATAGGCTACTGGAACCTCACTCGTTAAGTTTATTTTCATTTTGCCTGTTTTTACCGTAGTAGTAGCCGTGCCAGTTATCAAAAACGAAGAGAAATCGTTTATTACGGTCATCAAAGAATCCAGTTCTTCGCCTTGAAGAGGCGTGTTGACCTTATTAGGCTCTTTGATATTAACAGAGTTAACGTTTAAGATCGTATTGGATGAATGGGTCAAGTATTGCTGATCTTTCGTCCTCACAAAAGTTACACCATCCCTATTTAGGACGTCGGTTCCGATAATGATTGGCGTATTCATGCAAGAGGCAGGTACTACCACAAAATCTATATCCAGAGCGATATTGCTGAACTCAACTGTGAGTGTGACATATTCGTGAGCAATAATCTCATTATCACTTATTCCCTTAAGAACGCAGTCAATTTGTTTCTTTGAACAAGAAAAGTGTTTAAGAACCGCCGAAGATATTAACGAAACGTTCAAAGCCCCGCTGTCTATCAAAACGTCTACCGGTATACCCTGTATCACTGCTGTACACACGTCATTATTTTTAGTTGACTTAGAAAGTTCTTTGCATAAGTTGACTTTGCGTTGATTATTATTTTGGCCTTCAGATCGAGCTTTGGCGAAACAATCACTCTCCCTATGTCCTAGCTTCTTGCAGAAACTACACGTTATTTTTGGCTGAGTTTCAGGAATCTTACGCTTTTTAGGGCAGTTTGAGTTTATATGTCCAGTCTGGCCGCAGTTAAAACATTTATTTTCACTACGGTTGGTATTTCGTTTTCTAAAAACATTATGAGAAGGTCGATTGTCTTTGCTACAGCCAGGCTTGACATAAATAGCTAAAAACGAGACTAAGTTTTCTGTCGTGAGGTTGGCGTTCGCAGCCGCAGCCCTCACTTGCGCATCGTTAATACCGCGTATCACTATTTGAACCATAAGTTCCTCACTAATACCTTTAACTATGCGCAGGCGCAATAGTGATCGTCGTGCGTATTCAGCGTAAGTAGAAAACTTGTCAGAAGAAGTATTCATGACATCGAAAAGTGTTTGAGCGTAGTCTATTTTGGGAGGACAAAGCGACTTAAATTCTTTCACAAAATTAGACCAAGAGCGATCACTATTAGCCCATTCGTTTAGCCATAATTTGGCATCCCCTTTTAAACAATTAGCAACGCGCGACAGACACTCTGATGATGATTATAATGATTTTTCTAGTTTCGCATCATTGCCACAATTATTTTTATTTGTGTTAAGTGGGGGGAAACTGCACGCCACCTATGCGGTGTACAAAACTGAATTTCATTCTGAGAAACTGAAAATTTTGAAGATCCTTAGTAAATACTTTTAGGCCAAGAAAGGTCAATGTTTGGAATCTTTGCAGATTAATTCTTATATTATGTTTTTAATATTACATAATATTAATAAAATAAAATAAATGTTGGACCATGGGTCCCCAGAAGTTTCCCCGTAACACGCCGCCCCCCATCCCGTAGTTGAGACATCGGAGTACTATATTTCATGACACTTAATATAAGTTTATGAATAGCCTGATATAATTGCAATTTTTCTATGTCGGAATATAATCATGTATTATGTGATTTATACTGACATTTATTATTGGTTGTGAGATTGAAATCACATAACTCTATCCTAGTACAACAGAGTCACTTATTACTAGTGACCACTGATGGTAAAAATTTAAAAGCCAACCGACATATTTTACGAGATTCAACTGTTGCGATTCTGAGCTGGATGCGGCTGGTGCGCTCACGAGCATGACACGTGATGACTGTTTTGAAAGTCAGGAGGTCAAGTCCTCTGTTTCCATCTGTTGTCTGCCTTTCGGGGAAGTCCCTTCAAGGTAAAAAAAAAAAAAAAAATATCCTCAACTAACAGTGCGTAAACTGGCATCACCGTACGTGATACTACATAGTTCTTATTTCTAATCTCGAGGACAAAGCACGAGCATAATTCACGATACTAATATACTACAAAAAAACAGATAAAACAACCATGCATGACATAATATCATGTAAATACGTGCTATACCTATTGGTATAAGTGTCATGGTTTTAAATAACTTGAAAAAAAAAATGAATTAATTGAATAGTGTAAATCTTTCTCTTCAATCCTAAAATGTTAACCTTCAAAAATATTTTGATAGTGAATGAAAAGTTTAATTTTAAGAGCGTCTGATAATATGTCTGCTAAATCATCTGATTTTAACTTAAAGAGGTAAGGTCAGATCACAGACTAACTGTGATACCGTAACAAAATTATGTTTACGCTTCTTCCAGTTGATCCAGTAACCATTGTAGTTTAGCCGCGAAAGAATGTCTAGTCGTGAAATAATGTCTAGGCCGTCTAGCTCGGACAATAACTCGCAGTTCCGTCCCAAAGACAGGAGGACACCGTCAGGTTTTAGTGAGTAGGCCCTGCCCATCTGGCAGGGAGAGCCTCACATAACCAACTGATTCCCCCGGGTCAATGGGTATGCAATTTCATGCATTTCCTGATGAAAAAAACACCAGGGCAATTTACCCCAAAAAAATTTTAGGCTATTAACCGCTTGAGTCCCAGACGGCATTCATTAATGTCATAACAATTGATTATCTATTGTGTGGGCCTTGAAGGATTAATACAAAACTGACTCACCATCAATCTTCTTTCCATTCTTGAACCAGGCGACCTCCGGTTGCGGTTTCCCTTCCACCACGGTGCACGTGACCTCGACCTTGGCTCTCTCGTAGAGGTCCTGGAGGACTGACCCGTCTTGCAGCTGTCGGTCACCCACTGTCACCTCCACCGACTTTGGTTTTACTGTGGACAAGAGAAAGGGTACGGTTAGTGAGGCTTTACCAGGTTTTCTGACGATGAGTACATTTTATTTGCATGTATTACTTTTGACTGATTTTTCAGTCAAAACCACTTTTAGTTGAAAAAAATCAGTCTAAATTCTTACGATATATTATGATTAGTGAAAATTACTTGAAAATCATCTGAAATGTGTTATAAAACCATTTTAAAGTATAATTTTTGTATGATTTGTGCATAAAACGTGATCACACCTACTTTATGTACCACAATATAATGTTGCTTTTAATTTATTATCATATTTTAAAGAAATTTAGGTACTTTGTTTCGATTTGGAATTTTTTACTGATCGATAAAATTTAAAATCAGGAAAAAGCACTTTTGACTGATTTTTGCTGTCAAAAGTGGTTTTGACCGATTATGAGTTTTGACTGTAATAGATACTACAAGAAAATGTATTAATATAACTAAAACTACTTAATTTTAATTGTTGAATTAAATACAGAACAAAACAACCGTGATCTCCAATAGCACGAAATGCTGTCTCTATTTATAAACTAAAACTAAACAAACCAAAGTACCTACTTTGATCTTAGTCAACAGAAGACGTTGTATGTCAGATGTGTAAAGTTAGATTGGGTTTCGTAGCTACGGCGTAGATGGTAGCGCTGTAGTAGCGTAGTCGTAGCACTTTGCCGTAGTATGGCGCGACCGTAGCTGCTACGATTCGATTTGCTACGAATATCAAATACGTACTATGTCTGAATACTCTTATAAAATGATCATTAAGCTTATAGCAGACTTATCAACTCGGAAAGGGATAGCCTTTTGCGAGCTGTCATTGCCTGCCGCTGTCAACCGCGAGGCGAGGCGTTTACGTTACGGTGCGGATAAATGTGCGTTGCTGTATAGAGTTTCATACAAAGAATACTGACCGCCACGAATCGGTACGGTTACGATTCCTTTCCTGGTTGTTAACCTTTAACCGACGAGGTGCGGTCTCACAGACCGCTCCGGTTTTTGAAATTTCTGGATTGCAATGTTCTACTTACTCCCGTGTCCCGATCGTCTCAGTACCTTCGAGTTTAGTTGCCCAAACGCCATTACAGGTAGTGGTTACATCGACGAGGACAGTTTTAATAAGATAATTCGATTTAAAGTTCAACAGCGGTCTGTGGGACCGCACGTCGCAGACTACGTGACATTTTTGTACCATACTGAAACTGGCGTTTTTGTTTTAGACGACTAATTTTTCGTAAAAATGATGGATCCTGGGCCACCACAACCTAGGAAAAGACATTTCCTAATGATATATTGATGTTTGAACATAATATTATGTAAAAGATGGTAGTCTGTAAAAAAATACCGCGAAACGGGTGATAAATCAAACAGTGACATGTATGTATTCTAGGCTCTGACATGCCAAATCAGCCTGATGTCATTGCACCAGCTGCAAAAGAGACGTACATTTTAGTCCATCTAAATTGAAAACGAAATTATCTTACAGGTGTTACCTATGCATTCCGAAAATGCTTGGCATGCAGTAAAAAAATGACCTGATTTTGCCTGATGTTTACCCTACGTCAATTTTTTTTTGTGCATGTAATGTACGTGTCATTTATTTTTATTTTATTCATTATGTTCACTATATTTAGGAAGGAGTATAGTTTTTCTTGCTTTGATTAAAATTTACAAGTTATATAGGTATTATTGAGCTCTAGTGTAATTTCAATGAAATTAAGGGTCAAAAAAGTTTAAGCCATATTAAAATAAAAAATATACATTGATTCCTCGCAAATTATACGTATGTTTATTTTTAATACTATAATGTTCTCAAAAAATATAAAAACAATATACTTTTATACAAAAAAAAAAATACTTTTTGAGTAAGCAGTATAGCGGTCCCACAGACCGCACGTCGCAGACGGCGTGACAAAAAAATCACGTCGTCGGTTAAAGGTGTGTCCTTTGTTTTGTATTTTTTTTTGTTTTCAACTATATTTTATTCTATTTTATTTTATTCTATATCCAATAATACTGGCTATAACACTGGCCCATTTATTGTCCTGAAGCAGTAGTAGGGTTAATACTGGGACGTGTAAAAGTACTTTTTTTAAGCCTATTTACAGAAATAAATGAGTTTTAATGAGTTTTTTAATGAGTTTTAATATATTTATGAACTCGACTGTACCCTGTAAAAACTAAATTAACATAAGAAAAACTAAGAAGAAGGAAAAAAAGAAAAAGAATGTTTCTTGTAGACATTTCAGAGAATTTTTGGTACTTCATACAATACGGACTTAAAAGAAATCAAATTGTATAAATTCAAATTTCTACAAGTCACCACAAAATAATATCCACTTTCAACGCGTGATGTTCATAAGTTCCGCACCTGATACTTTGAATTAAGCACGTAATTATTCACACAAACCCATCAAACTATCTCCTTACAAATTCCCCGGCATTTCGCTCGGGCATCGCTCCGTCATCTACCTCAAATACACAAGTAAAAAGGAGACAGTAAGCTTGATGGACGGTTGGACGGTGTGTTACATTGTCAAATTTGGTTACCTAACTCATTGCTATTCAAATGAAGACATGCAACAAAATAACGAAAGGCCAGGTAAATAAGTCTAGGTAATGGTGACTGGAGGAGAATGCCGAATTTTTTTTTAATGGCATTACGTTCGCCCTTTGTGCCGTGATTTATGTGTAATATAATTTTTAAATAAATTAATTAATAGGTACGTTGCAAGACGCAAAGATATTGTAACACATTGAATGTGTTTTTACACATGAAATCCAAAAACCACTGAGGAACAAAATATTTTATGTTGTTATTGTTGTTATTGCAACAGATTTATCGATGACCTCATAAAAGTACCAGGAAGGTGCTTAATGGTCATTATGGAAATCATTATGGGAGGCTTTCAGCACTGGACGTCCTATGACTGAAATGATGATGATGAAGAAGGTGGACTTAGAATACGCCCTAGCACCATAATACCGATTTTGCTAAGTTAATAAAACAATGTGGTAAATAGAAGTCCTCGATTTGAATCACAATACCGAGTCTCCTGTCCACACGTACGTTGTAATAAAACTGAGACCGCAACTGAATTAATTCTAGCCGTCAACGTCTAAAACAACAAAACAACAATTAAACGCACGCGTGACAAATAGCTGTCCTCGTAAACGGCCCCAAGTGACAGCTGTCAACGAGCTGTCAGATTTGCCGCCAATCCCGCGGACTGTCATGGCGGATTCTGCGGATCTTTGGAGCGTTTTAGTTTATTGGATGGCCACAATGTTCATTAATAAGCGATGGTCAGGCTATTTCATTTAGATAGGTATTATGTACACTAATATTATTAAGAAGAGATTTCATTGTTTGTTTGTTAAGGATACGCTCCGAAACTTCTGCAAAAAAATCTTTCACCATTAAAATTCTACATTATTGCTCATGAACAAAGACGGTAAAAAGCGAAAGAAGGTCACTGATTACGAACGGACTGACTCACTCATCACGAAATCTCAGAAACTATAAGTGCTAGGAGTCTATAATTTTGCATGGGGGTTCCTTTTAGAACGAAGGTGCTCAATAAGACGGGATTTTGGGTGGGTAAAACGGGATTCACGCGAACGAAGTCGCGGGTGGCAGCTATAGTATGTAATAAACACTGATGCCTTGCTTTCATTATAATAGATCTGATTTTACAACAAAAACGTAACAAAGGTAGCCTGATGTGCTATCGACTGGTGTTTAAATCAAACAGCTTTCGCGCAAAAACGTCTTACAATATCTTTACCGTAAATAAATATGCAAAAGCCTCAAGCCCCAAATAATTTAGGAACGGGGACAAATCAGAAAAGAAATCGTATTTCGTACCATTACGGGGACTCTTTTAAAATCACAACAAACATAATCACTAGGCAAATTGTGTATTGTAAGCGTCGGCCATCTTTTTTTTGGATTCCGGCAAAAAATAAAAGGGAGAAGGAACACGGGTGTAAATGGATATAATAATTGAAACAGCGTAGAGCCATTGAGATGGGCTGGGTCTTAACCCTCGAAACGAGGCGCTTTGTAAGTATAATTTGGGGTCTAGAAGACCCGTTTAGAATTTGATTTCTCCAAACGTTTCAGTAATTTTCTGGTTGCAAAATTAAATTTTGAACACCGAAGTTCCTAGATTATTCAACGGGGCAATGTTTGATGAAGACCTAATTGGTCAATAAAACCTTAATAATTCTATGATTAAAAAGTGTTATTCGCTAACAATCACACGATTTTAAATGGAGTATAATGTGGCACATAACTGCCCAATTCTTTTTTAAAGACTTTATAATAAAGCATCATCTTTAAAAATGTTTCTATGACCATTATGAATTAACAGTGGTAGCATAAAATATGACATGTCACCTTTGGCTCTTGATTAAAAGAGCGTAACCAACTTATTGAGGACATTCAAAACAATACAATGAGATGAAGCGATAGAGTCAAATGCTCTCTCACGAATTTTTTTCATTTTGTCTTAAATATTTTATTATAATTTTAATATCTGATAAGACAGGGCATTAATATCTGGGTCTGACAGACCCACAGCGGCTGCCGAGGGTTATCCCAATTTCATCGGCTAAAAGGCGTCGGGCCGGTACCCGGAGCATTTGAAAAAAGCATAACCGAGATAAGTGAGATTTTGGCGGCCGCCATGACACTCTGGACAAAGAGCAAATGGATGCAGAAGAATCTCTATACTTATGTAAGAGCTGAATACATTTAATAACTCAAAAAGGTATGCCCATTGTACCTACACACAATAAACAAATGGAGGAATGATGAATAACCCGAATGTCTAACGAGACCTGCCGAAACTATTTAATTATATTTGTTGCATAAAAAAAAATCTTGAACGGATTTTTAATTTAACCTCTTTTTCATAGCACATACAACTTATGCCCGTTTTCACCATCAATGTCTAATTTTTAAGTTACCCCTATTGTAA